CCCTCTCCCGCTCCCCTCCCCTCCCCCCCTCCCGCCCCCCCCTCCCTCTCCCTCCCTCCCTCCCCTTCCTCCCTCCTTTCCCCCTTCTTTATTCCTTTCCTTTTTTGATTTTCAAGACAGGGTTTCTTTTTGTAGTTTTGGCAGAGACTCTATGAGTCTCTGGAACTCATAGAAATTTGCCTGTCTCTGATGTGTGCTACCACCAACCACCAGCAAAGACCCTTTCTTATGTTTTAAAGCTATCAAATTCTTTATAGTATGATCTATAAATTGATGAGGAGCCAATCTGGTGAATGTGCTTCTGCCTGAAAACAAAAAATGAAAGTGATCTGGCTTTCCATAACTACTCAACAGATGATATTCTTTCTCAAGTTACTGTAGTTGAACATTTATAGCTTTGTTTCTTTTGTTGCAGGCTTCTTTTCTAGATAGTGTAAGTAATATGGTAATTCATGGCACGTTCACCTCTCCTAGTCTGACCTTCATTCAGCTTAAAACCAGAGATGAGCATATCAAGGTAATACTTATGACTTATTTGATAATTATAACCTGATTTGATATTCTTATAGTTAGGGTGTATATATTAATTAATATTTCTTTTCTAGGTGGGATCACCGTTTGAATTGGTGGTTAGTGGCAACAGATATTTCAACGAGTTAAGCTATATGGTAATTTCTTTATTTTAAGGCTTTATTTATTTATTGTGTGCATGTATGAATGCCGTCACATGTGTCATTATGTATATGGAGGTCAGAAACAACTTTTGAGAGTTGATTGTTTTCTTCTACCATGGATTCTGAGGATCAAACTAAGGTCATTAGGGTTGGGTGGCAAGTACCTTCACTCACCTTGTCACCTGGAAGGCTGGTAATTTCTCACAGAGCTTAAGTTCATGACCTGTTATAGAACCATTTTAAGGGTTGTTTAGCTTATGTCTTCACCAGACTTATTAAATTGCTACAGATTAGTTTTCTCTTTTTATTGTCTGACCAGTTTTCTTTCTTCAACTATGTTTACATTTTCATTTAAAATAGATAACTAAAAATTTTCACCAAGTGTAAAATGTAAATTTCTAGTATATAGACAACATCAATCAATTGTGGAGAATTATGGAATACAAGAAAAAAAAACTTGCCATCATGGCCTTGTAGTTTTTCTAATTAAACCCTCGATAAGATCTCTGTATTCCTTTCCATCAAATAATAGTTTTCAACACAAAGAGATTGTCAGTGCACGAGTGCTATCTCAGAAATGACAGTGATTTGACATACTAAATCCAGTGTTGGATTGGAGAGATGGCTCAGTGGCCAAGAGTATGTACTGCCTTACAAAAGGCCTGAGTTCAGTGCTAAGCACACACATTGGGCAGCTTACAACTGCCTAAAACTTAACTTCAGGGGATTTGAGGCATCTGACCTCTATGGGCACCAAACCCCCGTACAGAAACATTAAAATATTAATGAAGTATTACATGAAGAAAATCCACTTGTTTCAACAGATGCAGGATAGGTTTTTGACATCCACACTTTTATGTTAAAAATATTCAGTGATGCTTAATTGGTGGGAATGTAGTTAACTTGGCAAAGGACAATAATAATAAAAACTATTGCTAACACTTAAGATAAACCAGTTACCTTAATTAATTAATAAAATGTATATATTATATACATGTATTGAAATGTTGCATTGTGTTCCATAAACATCTATCAATTGAAAATTAAAAATGCAAAAAATTGGGAATTAAAGATAACATTTATAATGGACGACATGAATGTTACTGCAATCTAGTGTTTGTTTTAATGTTGTCATTTTTTTTAAACATATATAGACTTTTTTGTCAACCGTCATTTATTCTTCATGGATTCATTGCTGGTCTTAACAATCACAATACCTTTTTTGTTGAAATTTAACTCCCATCTAAAAATTTATCACATAGATTTTTGCATGTAAAAATGTTGTGAAGATAATGTATGTATGCTTAGGTTATTATAAAGATAACTTCAGTTGAAATATGGTAATCTTTAGCAAATAATTGCACTCCTTTTTTTTTTTAATTTTTAGGTAGTATCAAAGGGACAGTTGGTGGCTGTAGGCAAACAAAATTCGAAAACTTTCTCTTTAATACCAGAAGCTTCCTGGGCTCCAAAGGCCTGCATAATTGTATATTATGTTGCAGATGATGGGGAAATTATAAATGATGTTCTAAAAATCCCTGTTCAGTTTGTTTTTAAAAATAAGGTAAGATTTAAGGTGGTGATGTTTAAAACTTTATTTCAGTGAAGTCTGAGAAACATAATCTTTCTTTGCAAAAATATCAGTTATCCTATACTTGGTAGATATGTATTTTCATATTAAGCCCCACAGTTATTATTTGTCAGTTGTGATTCCTGGCTTTAAGACTTTAACTTAAATTCATCAAAATCATTTTGATATTTTTTAAATAGTTGGGTTAATATTGCCCTGGCCTGGAATTCTAGTGGCAACATAGACTGGCTATGGTGTTGACGTTGGTGTGACGATGAGGGGGGTGTAGGGAGAGAGCAGGGCCATTGGAGATGTGTGTGGAAGCAGAGCTGGGTTTGGAATTATCTTCTTCATCAGCTGAAATCTAATGAGAGCAGACTGTCAGTGAGCCTTGCTTTCTGGGGTCTGTGTGGGGCTTGGGGTACTTAGCTTGAGTAACCAGCTTGCACAGGAGACTGCCTCAGCCTCAGCTCTGACAAGAAACCCAGTGCAGTCATCTCACAGACTCAAGAATGAGCCATTGTTATCACTAAACACTTCTGCCTCCATCTTCCCAAGTGAAAGGATCAGTTTCAATGTCATGATTTGTAGAGTATAGCTCTCTTAATACTTCCTTTAGAATCATTAAAATCTTGACAAGTAGCATCAGTTATTCGCACTTTCTTTTATTTAAAATAGTTTACATTAATTTTTCATATGTCAGAAGGTGAATCTAGGGTCTTGTGCATGCTAGCAAATGTGCTAGTGTCAAGCCTCACCCTAGCCCTGAGTAACCTTAACTTTCTTTTAAGTATAATATAAACTTCTATTTTTTTACTTTATGAAAAGTTTTTTTTAAAGAAATAGCAATATATTTTCTTAGTTTCACTTTATAATAATTATCTAAAACAAGTGAATTTTAGAAAGGAGTTATGGAGGCTTAAATTAGTAAACACACTTCTATGGATGGTAGGAAGCCAAGAACATTGCGTAAGATTACCAACAAAGGGAAACAGAACATATTATAGGATATCTTCAAGAAATATTTTTGGACAAATGAAAGATTCAATTTCATTTTCAAAGAGATGCTTACTCTGATTTTTAGGTAATGATGACCACGTTTTCAGACTGAAAGGAAAGGCTCCAGCTAGGGGTCACACTTGACAGGAAGCCAGTCTATAGTTCAGTGACTTAAAGGGAACATCGTGGTTGGCCAGTGTAGTCGAGGGTGCAGTTTTTTTTGTTAGAACTGAGCTAGGTAACACGGAGGTCCTCAGTAGGAATGGGACTTTCCCTCATGACCGAGTTGCAGGCTTTTTGAAGTATTGGACCATGTTTTGGGGAACATAAAGATGAAGTTCAGGAGCCATGGAGCAGAGGAACCTCGTGAGAGTCTGGTCTGGCCATTTCCTTTCTGTTAAGAACTTTTTCCTCTCACACCGCAAAGATTGTTCTGGGAGAGCTCTCATTGTGTTCATTTCTAAGGCAAGTCACCAGCTTGTAGGGACCTACAGTAGTTTTCCTCTCTCCTCTGTCTTCTTTTTGAGGGTGGCCTTCCCCAGGGATGCTAGATTCTGCTGTCCCGTGTTGAGCACTAGCTGAGGACTGAGAAATGGAAAATGGAGAAAGATGGAAAGATGAAGGATAACTGGTGTTTGCACCACAGGGAGATGTTTCATGGATTGCACATATGTGGGAGTTAAAAAAAGTTCCTTTTCTTAGAGAAAAGTTGTGTATGATTTTGGAATTATCCCTGGGTCAAGGCAAAAGTAGAAGCAATGGGTTTTGAGTCCTTGATCTGGAAAAAATGAAATAAATTAATTTTACCTCCTCCTTTTCTTAGATAAAGCTGTTTTGGAGTAAACCCAGTGTCAAGCCTTCTGAGAAGGTCTCTCTTGGGATCTCTGTAACAGAGACCGACTCCATAGTTGGGATTGTAGCTATTGACAAAAGTGTGAATTTGATGAATGCCTCAAGTGATATTACAATGGAAAATGTGAGTTTACTTATTTTTTTGGTGAAAATATGTGTTAAAAGAAAATAAAATAATCATTGTATTACCTTAAATATTTAAAGAAAATTCATTAGTCTCTGTGGATGCAAAAGCTGGGAAACAGAAAAGCCTTAAAAGAAGAAAGTATCTGCATTCCAGTTATGTTGGGCAGAGGCACATGTGTATTTTACATTTACTTTTCTTTTGGTATCTATTATATTTGTAATGCCTATTATTGTCTTTTGGATCTTAATTTTTGTTCTTATTACTAATTATATATACATATATAGTACTAATACGTCCTTGTATCCCTTATGTATATTTACTGTGCTTACTTTAAAAATCTCAATTTGTTTCAATATTAATTTAAAAATTTTCTCTAGTTCTAGGATTTGATGATCAGTGTGTTTTCTAAGCATTTATGAACCCATATGAGTAGTGTATGTATGTGTGTATTCTTAGAAATTTAACCTAGGACATTGTACCATGCTAGGCAAGCTCTCTGTCACTGAGCTACATACTGTGGTTATTTGTTTTATTTTTATTTTTTGAGACAGATTTTTTTTCTTTTTTAATTTTTTGAGACAGAGTTTTTGTGTAGCTTTGTAGACCAGGCTGGCCTCGAACTCACAGAGGTCCACCTGCCTCTGCCTCCCTAGTGCTGGGACTAAATGTGTGAGCTACCAATGCCCAGCTAGACCGATTCTTACTATGTGGCACACTGTTCTCAAACTCATGAGTCTCCTGCTTCAGCCTCCTAGGTTACAAACATATGTGACCACACATGGCTTTCCTATGCTTATTTTAAGTTCTCGAATTGACCTTTGCCATAATTCTGCACCAAATGTTGTGTGCCTCATTGGATTCCTTTACAGTAGGTATACTCTTTAGTAGGTCTGTTTCTCCAGAGCTGACTCTGAAGTGGGTGTGAAGAGCCTGTGGAAGATAGTAGACTTTGGCTTGCTTTTTTTTTGTTGTTGTTGTTAAATTTACATGTGTCATCATGAGTTCCTGAATGCATTAAGGATATTTAATGGGATCTTCCAGGCATGATTTCTATACACAGCTTAGGCAATGTTCTTGTTGAGGTGGGGAGAAAGAAGGGTTTCATGAGGTAGATGTTGCCTGGTGCATGCTTTGTTCACCCCTGAGCAAGAGTAGAAGTGAAGCATTAAGTGAGTCAGAGATGTAGTCCTGAAGTCTTCTCTCCTTTTATGTCTGGCTCTGGCTCCAACTCTGTTGTCTGTCATTGGGGCTGATGACACTTGCCAGCTTGTTGTGGATGAAGTGTTTCTCTTGGTGATTTTCTTTTTGTTGTCTGTTCCAGCATTGCAGTTGCTTACTGTCCATACAGTGAGGCTTGTTAGCATAGCAGAATGCAGCAGCATGGCTGTGGGTGTTTCATTTTGTGATAGAAAGTTTTTTAAAAAAGGTTATTCTTATTGTTTTTATCTCCATGTATGTGTGTATGCATCTGTGTGGATGTATGCCCTGTGTGTATGTGACTGAGGAGCCTGAAAAGAGGGCATTGGATCCCCTGGAACTGGAGTTACAGGTGATTGTGAGCTGCCTGATGTAAGTGCTGGGAACCGAACTCAGGTTGTCTGTAAGAGAAGCAATTGCTTTTAACCACTGAGCCGTCCCTCCAGCTCCTAGGAAGCCTATTATTAACTTTGATTTTTTCATACTTTGTTTGTTTTTTGAGACAGGGTTTCTCTGTGTGGCTTTGGAGCCTGTCCTGGCATTCACTCTTGTAGACCAGACTGGTCTTTAACTCACAGAGTTCCATCTGCCTCTGTCTCCCAAGTGCTGGGATTAAAGGGGTGCACCACCAGCGCCCAGCTTTCTTTATGGTTTTTAATCCTGCCTCTGTCTCTCTTCTGTGTATAATGATAACACCAATAAGAGAGAAGTGTCAAACATTACCTAGAAGGAGATAATACTTGAGGGGTTCTTCCTAGTAAAATACATAAAAAATTGTCACTAATAGCATGTGTGGGTGGGTACAGAAGTTTTCTATTGCTCCCCACAGAGACTCAGTAACTTTAAGCAACAATTCTCTACTCCCAAACCCCTGTGACTAGCTTCTATTAACCTCTATTTACTTTTTATAATATGCCTATTCTAGATATTTTATGTAAATGGAATTCCATAACCTTTGGCTTTTGCTTGCTTTAGTTCACTCAACACAGGATGCTTTCACGACTAAGCTATGCTGTGGCATGCCCCATCAGAAAGCTGTTTCATTGTATGGTTGTCTAGTATTCCATTAAATGCCATATTTTGTCTAGTCCTCTATTGACTGACACTTAAACTTCCCGCCTTTGGCTTTTGTGAATGCTGCAGTGAACACCGGCATGGAAGTACCCCTGAGTTTTTGTTTTTAGTTCTTTTGAGTATATATCTAGGGGTAGAATTGTTGGGTCAGATACTGATTCCTTGTTTACTCTTTTGAGGAAAAGAGAAAGAATTTTTATCAATCCTTTTAGCCTGTTTTATCTATGCTTACTAGCAGTGTCTTTAAAAACAATTGTATTGCTAAAGCGATGCACACAAAATATCTCATTAGTAAAAAATATTTTACTGGTGTTGTTCTAATGCTTTTGTTACCAACGAGTATTTGTCTGCGTATTAATTTATATTCGCTCTTTTGTGAATTTAAGTGATGAACTTCTTACAGAATTTGTGTCAACCCCCCTCACATTAGCCTGTTTGTCTCAGCTAAAAGTATGGCTAAAATTTAATGCTGACCCCTACGTGTTGATCATGCTAATCAGTGACATGTCAGTTCATCCTAGGAGAACCTCGTTTATATTTATAAGGAACTCTGTATGACTGAGCAGAGTAAACATAATTTTAAATAAGAAGTGTAATTGTGGTTGGTGGAATGATAAACAATCACTTATATATTTATGGTACCTTGATTTGTGCCATTTTCAAGTTCAGTAAGCATGGGGATTGTATACTGAATTATTTCTAAGGGATGAGCGGAGGTCAGGATAGACTGATAGGAATCAATTCACTCTGTGTCTTATCTTTGTGCAGGTGGTCCACGAACTGGAACTTTATAACACAGGGTATTATCTAGGCATGTTCATGAATTCCTTCGCTGTTTTTCAGGTATGGATAGTTGATCAAATAATCTGAAAATATATTAATGTCTTTTTGACTTTTAGGATTTTTAATTAATTATTTTTTTGAAGATTTATTTATTTTATGTACAAGTGCTCTATCTGCATGTACACCTTTATGCCAGAAGAGGGCATCAGATACCACTAGAGATGGTCGTGAGCCACCAAGTTATTGCTGGGAACTGAACTCAGGACCCCTGGAAGACCAGGCTGGCCTCAAACTCACAGAGATCCGCCTGCTTCTGCCTCCTGAGTGCTGGGATTTAAGGCGTGCACCACCAATGCCCGGCTGTCTTTTACTATTTTAAACTCTTTCATAATTATCATGATCAAGACTAACCTCTATTGGAAGTGTGACTGAAGTTCACTGTTGTATAAATCTAATCTGAGTGGAGAGATACACCCTTTCAGTTTTAAAAGCAAATGGAAAAATATGCTGATTCACTCTTAGGTTAGTGGAATTGTCACTAAAAACATTTTTTCTATTACATTACTGTATTTGACTTTGAAAAGTATGTTTGTATGAGAGAAGAAGGGAAGAGGGAAAGATACACACACACACACAAACACACACACACACACACACACACACACACACACACACACACACACCTATGTACCTAAGTCTCCCAAATGGGAGTGTGGGGGATTTCTATGATTAAAGAAAATTAAAACTTTGATTTTGATTTTATTTTAATTAAAAGTTTTTATAATTTTTTTTCTAGGAATGTGGTCTCTGGGTGTTGACAGATGCAAAACTTGTAAAGGATAACATTGATGGTGTTTGTAAGTTAAACCTGACAACATGCTTAACTGGATATATTTTACCTCATATATTGAATATTACTTATAATGGGAAGGTATTTTCTGGTTGGAGCTGACTGCTATGGCTAAAGTGCTGGGACTTTGGAAGTACGTATAAGATGACAAGGAATGTCCTCCAGGCTCCTGACTACATCTTTGGAATGGATATTTTCCTTTTGGCTTCTGTAGTTTAGTTTTTAAAGTGGGGTTATAGTTGGGGACGTATTGGATGATCCCGTGATTTTAGTTTGTATCACAAACTGTGTTGTTATTTTGAAATTAGTTAAAAGGAACAAATTTTTGAAGCATTAGGGTCTTCTTAGCATCAGTCAAATTCTGGAGGGTAACCAAGTACACTGGCAGTGGCTTGTAATATTTGGGGGTCTATGGGGACTGAATGGCCAACAAACTCCAAAAGAAGTAACCCATTCTGAGCACTGGACTTTTTATTTCTTAGGATACAGTGTCTAGTAGGGCATTGTCACTCTGTTATAGGGTAACCCATTTTAAAGTTATGTACATGTGTGTACGTATACAAGAGTGCTGGTGTTCTTAGAGGATGGAGATGTTGGCTCTTGAGTAAGAATGGTTGTGAGCTGCCTTACATGGGTGCTGAGAATCAAACTTGGGTTCCCTGAAAGAGCAAAAGAGCAATAAATGCTCTTAACTGTTGAACCATTTCTTTAGCTCTGTTATAACTCTCTCTCTCTCTGTCTCTCTCTGCCTCTCTGTCTCTGTCTCTCTCTGTGTGTGTGCATGTGTGTGCATGCATGCATTTTAAAGAAGCTTCCAAAAGGTTTCTGTTTGACTTTCTAAATTGTCTTTAGTGTTATTTGACCATCTACATATTCCCTCTTCTACCCTGCTGTCTCACACCTCACCAATTTAACCTTCCTATTCTATTATTCCCCCTTTAAGCCTTTATACCATAGCTCCTTCTCTCTCTTCCTTTGAAAGTGCTCCCTGTGCCCTCCTACTAATTTGCTGACCTCTGTGGGCATTCCAAATGAAACACACTTCTGAAGATTCAAAGCTAACATCCAAAAAATGAGGGAAAACATGCAGGCTGTCTGTCTCTTACCCTCTCTCATCTCTGCCTGGCTTCCAGCTGTCATCCTGACCCTCTTGTCCACTGCCTACTAACATTGTTTTCCACAGCACCATTTTTCATATTGATGCCAGAGCTCACTTAGCAAAACATGGGCTACCTTATGTTTTTCTTTGTTTTAGATCCCCAGTGATCATTATTTACAAAATGTGGTCCAAAGCCTTTAGTATGACTTACATACTCAAAATCTGAGCCCAACGTTCCTTCTCTTCTTACTGATGCCATTTTTAGCAAGTACTCACTATGTATTCTGGCAACTGTTTTGTGTTCAACTTAGCTTTTTCTTCTCCACATGCTGCCCTTTATCTCAAGACTCAATGAAAGGAAATGTAATGCAGACAGCTCACTGCAGAAGGAGTAATTTCTACTGAGATTCCTTTCACCATTCAGATTCCTTGTAAAGTTAACTATTTTCTGTTTAGTAGACCTTATTGTCATCCTTTCATGTTTACTGCAATGTTTCTATCTTCTCCATAGACTATAAAGAGATTTCATTGTAGTAACCTTTATTTATAGCCCTGTGGTGTAATTTTCTTTGCATTATATTTAAAAAATTTTTTTTGAGACATGGTCTCTCTACATAGCATTGGTTGTCCTGAAAATTACTATGTAGTATTTGCCTGCTTCTGCCTCCCGAGTGCTAGCGTTAAAGGTGTGTACCACCATGCTCAGCTCAGATTTTGAAATAATTAGATTTATAGAAAATTGAAAAACAGAGATAGATGACCCAAAGTCTATATAGCCACATTTTTTTTTTTTAGTTGTAAAATCCAACAAATGAACTAACTATAGTGTCTTAGGCTGACACAATGAGCTTTCAAAGAAGGAGAGTATAAAAATCAGGTGGGTTTAAAAAGTGATGTATTTTAATAATTTAACTTGAAAATAGGCAACTAAACTCTTTAAGTTTTCAGTTATTGACATTGGGACAGAGTATACTGAAAAAATATTTTTTAGTTCTGAGGTCACTGTCCATGTGTTTTGGCACGTCATCTGACTTGTCTGTTGCTCAAGCTTCTTCAGAGAATGAGAGAGTTGAACAAGATAAATTCTACACCCTAACCCTAACCCTAGCCCTAACCCTAACCCTTCTAGGTAGTGGGTTCTGGGAGCCAAGCTTGCAATAATTTCTCTCCAGTGCCTTTTCCTTCCTCACCATCGTCAATGTTTGTTGCAGATGATACTGCAGAATATTTTGATCGGTCTGCGGAGGAAAATGAGGGGAACTGGATTGGTTTTCAAGACTTTTCTTTGGTTAGCAACCCACATGTCAGGAAACATTTTCCAGAAACATGGATTTGGCTAGACTCCTACATGGGGTAAAGATTTGTAAAGTTCTTTGTCCATTTATGTTTTGCTTAGTGTATATTTTGGGGAATACTTGCCCACTTTCTAATGTATTTGAAGCATAAATTTTGTGTGTTGATGAACTAAGTAGATTAAGGAGTTTGGGGTTTCAGTGATGTTGATTGAATCTAACTGTGGTGTTTGGTTGAGTCACATGCAGATCATGGCCATAAAGTTTTAGCAAGGACAGAGTGGGGCTTTGTAGATGAAAGGTGAATTAAACTTCCTTGAAGTCTCCTGGTTTGTGTTGGAAGAAAATCCATAACAGAACTGATAAGAATTCAAACAAAAACAAACACCCAGGAAGTTATCTGTAAATTGAGAGAGGAATATTGGAGTAAAGCTTAAAAACTTGTATTTAAATAAAAGTTTGTGAAAATATAGTAATCAATTTAGAAGGTATGAAGTTTGTAGAAAGATTTTGTTGAAGCACACAAAGTATGATGCTATAAAGTATTTCTTGAGAAATTGAGATGCTATGTGATTTTAAACTAGGATATATAACTGATATAAATATGAAAATTAAAATTCTTCCAAAATTGTTAGTTATGTTGACTTATTTGGAATTATGTGAAATCTTGGTTTTGTAATTTCTGCATTTGTCTTGACTTCAGATCCAAGGTTTACCAAGACTTTGAAGTTACTGTACCCGATTCCATCACTTCCTGGGTGGCTTCTGCTTTTGTGATCTCGAAAGACTTGGGTCTTGGGTTAACAACTGCTCCAGCAGAGGTATTTACAGAGGAGGGTCTCTCCAATCTAATGAAATGAGGCTTAGAAAAAAATTCACTATCCATTGCTTTATTTATCACAGTTTTCTGTACCTTTACCTTTCTGCTTTTATCTACGTTACCATCTTTGAGAAAGTTATTATTATCTATAATTTTATTTACTTTTATTTCATGTGCATTGGTGTTTTGCCTGCATATATGTCTGTGCAAGGGTGTCGAATCGCATGGAACTGAAGTTGCAGACAGGTGTGACTGCCATGTGGGTGCTGGGAATTAAACCTGGGTCCTCTGGGATAGCAGGCAATGCTGCAATGCTTTTAACCACTGAGCCATCTCTCCCTAAGAACAGCAAGTGTTCTTAACCTGTGATCTATTTCCCCAGCCCCTATTTGGTTAAAAAGCTTATTATTGACCTGGTGTAATAACTTCCAAAGGCCAGGTCACTTTAAAGATGAGCACAGCTTCTCAGAGCGTCTCCTAGTAGACAGTCCTTCATGTTTATGCTTGGGAATATGAGGATCATGAATATCCTTAGCCCAATAGGCATCACTCCAATTATACCTGAAAGCCTGTATAACAGATATTTTGTGTTGCCTCCATACCATTCTTAAGTGAAAGTTGTAGAATTCAAAGTGCTTTGGGTTTGTATATGGAACTGTGGTGGAAGCTCAGGTTGTTTAAACAGATTCTTTATTTACATGAATATCTGAGCAAATATTCAATATCTATAAAAACATTTACTTGGCACCTTCAATTATATGATCTGTAGAGTCAAATGCACCAAGCAACCAATTATGTTTCTATATTCCAATTAACAAACCATATGCTAAGTTTGGCAGATAAGTCAAGAATCATGAGGAATATATGACAGTAGTTGTTCATTGTTTGGGACAATCCTAAGTATTTTATTGTAGATCTTCATTCCACAAAGTGCCACTAGTGTCCTTCAATCACTGTGACAATTTAAAATGTTCAGTGTACAAATGTCCACCTAAGTCTGGCAGTATGCTCAACCTTTTGAAATTTGTGAGATGGTCTTGGCATTTACAAAGTTCAGAATTAAGAAATATGCAACAAAATTTCAAAAAATAAACATCTCAATAAAACCTTCTATGTTTAAATTGTATTGGTCCACATTTGTGTTGGCTTTGCCTGCATGTGGCCCACAAGGGCATGGGTTGGACATACCTTCTAGAGGGACTTCTGTTGTTGAGACCACTGGCTTAAAGTAACCCCATTCAATTTCAGGTAGGGGAGTGGGGCTTGGCCTCTCCTGTAGGTCTTGGTAACAGTTTCAGAGTTGAGTCACCAAGAAGCAGATAGGTGTGTCTGTGTACATGTGAGAACACAGTAAGCAGAACATTACTGGGTGGGTCACATTGAGATTTCCCCAGGTGAGTCTCAAGCAGGAACTGTTGGATTGGAGGGTTAACTTTTGAAGTTATTATGGAGTCAATACAGACTGGATAACAGAGGGGCAACTTGTTTTGGTATCATAGAGAATGGGATATGGCTCTGGTACCTTCCCTTGTAGGTACTATATGAGCCTGTAGTAGTCTCAGAGATTTCTGAATGCCATTTCTTAATAAATAAAAATGGAATGAAACACCCTTATAGGGGTATAATTATTGCATGAATAATTTATGGAGTACTTGATCTCTGCTGGGTCCTTAATGCAGTACAGTGGTTACTATGCTAAGTAACAGTCAAGTCTTTATTTGGTGTAAGTTGTTACTTGGTGTTATAGGCGGTACAAGTTCTGTGGATATTGCTCCTAACTGTATGTCAGTGAAGCATTTGTGTCTGAATTAAAACATGTATTCATTGTGTTTTTTCTAGCTGCAAGTCTTCAAACCGTTTTTCATTGACTTGAATCTTCCCTACTCTATTATCAGAGGTGAAGAATTTGCTTTGGAAGTGATCATATTCAATTATTTGGAAAGTACCACTAAGGTAATGTGCCCAAGGTTTTGTGATTATTTACACTTTGAGACAAAACAGTGGATGGAGGATCAATTGGTTGCATGGTACTTGAGAATCAGGGTCTCTGAGCTTTTTTTTTTTTTTAATAAAAAAACAACTGTTTTTGGCTTTTATATGTTTTTATTGGTTTTTATCCTTTTAACTTGGTAATTGACACTTTTAGAAAAATTTAATTTACTCTTTGATAACTTCATACCTGCATATGACACATTCTAGTCAACTTCTCCTCCAACTTTCTTTTGGTTTTGTATTGTGACTCACTTGCTTTTAACAAGGGCCACCCACATGAGCATGTGTGTGGAGCTGTTCACTACAGTATAGGCAGCTTTCTGGTTTCGACACCACTGAAGACAGGGACTTCCATAGTCATTAGAACTTCCAGCAGCTCCTCAAGGATAGGCTGGATCCTGAGAGTACCTTACCCAGCCATAACTGAGTGTTGTTGGCCAAGTCTTGGCATTAACTTCTGCTCATTGCATCGGCCAAGGCTGAGAACAGCACTAATCTATGGGTATAAACATAGATAGAGTAGGCCTTAGGAATAATCAGAAGGCAGTTGGTTACAGCCATAGTTGTCATTCCACTAGTGCATCAATGGGCATATCTTGCCTGACAGATTGGTATTATAGCGTACAAGACCCACATATGGGCAATTATTTTAGTTAGGGCAGCTCTTACAAAGGAAAACATTTAATTGGAACTGGCCTACAGTTTCAGAGGTTTAGTCCATTATCGTCATGGTGGGAAACATGGCAGTGTGTAGGCTGACATGGTGCTGGAGAAGGAGCTGGGAGTTGGTCTGCAGGTAACAGCAGGAGACTGCAAGCCACACAGGGTGTAGCTTGAGCATATGACTCCTCAAAGCCCACCAGCACATTGATGCACTTCCTCCAACAAGGCCACACCCCCTAGTAGTGTCACTCCCTATGAGCCTATGGGGGTCATTTTCTTTTCACCACCACAGTAATGTCATTGATAATTTTTCTCCCTAAGTTACCTATATAGCAACTTTTGGCATTATGAGGGTTAGCTAACAAGGAGGAAGTTTCTGGTTTAGTTGTAGCATGATTTTCTTTGAAGGATAACTAAAGTGTGTGGTATCTTCAGCAATAGGGTCTTACCAAGACAATGACTATAACCTGTATTTTTCTGGGGTTCTTTGGGGCCTCCCTGACCAGTGACTTTTAGGGAGCTATCACATGCTTGACACTCCTCCACGAATTTTGTACTTTGATGGGAGATTGAAAATATATGTATGTTACTGATTTCTTCTGCTAATATTAATGTCTGGGTCTATCACTAGGATCTTTGCATATTATCTTAGTTTTCCAGTACAGATCCTTCCATTGAGCCCAGGAACTTCCTTTTGGTCTTTCTCTCTCCCACCTCCCCTGCATTTCCTCCTGGTCTTCTGTATGCAGAATGCGTTTTCTCTTCTTATTACCGTTCTGTACCTGCTGCAGTTGGTAAGAATTTATTCTCTCTGAGACAGATGGCAGACAGGATTCCTTTCCTGAGAAACTTCACCCACTCTGTTATGTTTGTTTCCGTGGTTATAAAGTGTATTATGTGTTCAGGGATTTATTTTGTGAGTCATGTTCCTGTGTCTCCTTAGGCAGTTTGCTGGAAGGCAGGGCTTAGGACTTATCTACATCTACGGTTCTTGCTGCACTTATAGTTGCCTTAGCCAAATGGTTTGGTTTTCTGTCCTGGAGTAATTAGGCATATGCTATTAGCTTTATTGTCTGAAATGCCGTACTATCTTTAAGTATGCACATCTGCATAGTAAATCAAAATGTTTACTTTTTTTTTGTGTGTGTGTGTGTTGCAGATTGAATGGGCACAGGTCTACTACTGAGCTATTTCTCTCAGCTCCAGCTTTTTGTTTTCTAACTGTGCTTTTTAAAAATAATTTATTCTTTTAAATTTCATTTTATATTCCAACCACAGTTCTCTCTCTCACTCTTCCTCCTGCCTTTCCTTCCTCAGTCCACCCCCCCATCCCATCTACTCCTCCTCATGGGTAAGGGCTCCCATAAGGAGTCACAAAATCTGGCACAATAGGTTGGGGCAGGGCCAAGTCCCTCTTCCATTCATTAAGGCTGAGCATGACATCCCACCATAGGGAGTGGGGTCTAATAAAGTAGCTCATGTACCAGGTTTATATGATGGTCCTACTGCCACTGAGCATGGCATCCCACCATAGTGCTTTCTAATGTGGTCAGAATGTTATAGTATAATAATGAACAGATTTAGAGAAAGCCTAATATCCAGTCTGCCAATCATTAGCAGATAACTTAATAACATGATTAGAGTTTCCTTACCTATTTTATGAGAATCATGATCATATTTGAGAGGCAGAGTCAGGAGGATTGCTGCAAGTTTGAGGCTAGCCTGGCCTTCGTAATGAATTCCAGGTTTACAAAGTGATTTCAAGCCTGGAAAAATACTATTTAAGGAGAATAGAAAGTTTTGTCATTGTAATAAAACTTTGTAATCAGATATGCTTTAGAGCAGTGGTATCGAATGCCTTTCATCCTAGTACTCAGGAGGCAGAGGCATTTGGATTTCTGAGTCTACAGAGCAAGTTCCATGAAAACCAGGAAAACCAGGAAAACCAGGAAAACCAGGAAAACCAGGAAAACCAGGGCTACATAGAAAAACCTTGTCTCAAAAAAAAAAAAAAAGAAAGAAAGAAAAGAAAAGAAAGGCTTTAGGACTTATGTATTAACCATACCTTTCATTGAATAATTTTTGCAGAGACTCTCAGTAGCTAAAACAATATTTCAACCTATTTGTCTCATGCTTCCCTAATGGGACCTGTATCTCCTGGAATGTCACAGTTAAATCAAGAGGTGGTGAAACTAATATTTGCAATGGCCTTTTTGTGGATAGTCTACCACTTCAGGGTCTTGTGTAACAGGTTATTTAAAGGACTGGAAATGAAGCCTAAGAATGCCTTTCCCCAGATGTGTCTTGAGGTAGAAGGGGAATGCATACAATAAATCCAGTTTTCTCTGTTTTCCTTTCTGTTTTTTCCTAATCTTGGTCTCAGTTTTCTCCTGTTTTGAGTCTCATACTTGTAACAGCACTTAAAACAGTGACAGACGCTCTGCAGAGAAGCATTTTTTTTTTTTAATACAAAACTTTGGGTTTTGTAATTTCCCTCCTAGGTTATAGTGCTCATTGAGGAAAATGACACCTCTGGCATTATAATGTCTTCAAATGATGCCAATGACACCACGTACCAGCAGACCGCTCTGGTTCCCAGTGAGGATGGCGTTACTCTGCTTTTCCCCATCAAACCAACACAGTTGGGGGAAATTCCCATCACAGTGAAAGCTGCCTCATCCACTGCTACTGATGTGATCACCCGAAAGATTTTAGTAAAGGTAAATATTTGGGGTATAGATGGATACAGTGGAAACACAACATGGAATTGAAAAGCAAATGGGAGATGGTATTTGTGTGTCAAATTTGTTGGTAATCTTAAATGTCCTCTCCTCCACCCTTTTGGTAATGCCTAGTTGTTTTCTCATCTGTTGGTAAAATATAACACATGTATGCTTTAAAGATATTGCCATTTTCCTCTTTAAATCTGAGTAGAAGCATGACTATTATTAGGATGGTCAAGTATTTTTTTTTTAAGATTTTATTTATTTATTATGTATACAGTCTTCTGTCTGCACGCCAGCAGAGGACACTAGATCTCATTCAAGGTGGTTGTGAGCCACCATGTGGTTGCTGGGAATTGAACTCAGGACTTCTGGAAGAACAGTTAGTTCTTAACTGCTGAGCCATCTCTCCAGCCCAGCCCTGGTCAAGTTTTTTTTTTTTTTTTTTTTTTTTTTTGAGACAGGGTTTCTCTGTGTAGCTTTGGAGCCTATCCTGGCACTCGCTCTGGAGACCAGGCTGGCCTCAAACTCACAGAGATCCTCCTGCCTCTGCCTCCTGAGTGCTGGGATTAAAGGTGTGAGCCACCAATGCCTGGCCCTGGTCAAGCATTTTTAAGTAGTCATTTACACCCATAAACTGTGTTGTATTGGGATCCTATTGGATCATGGTCAGGTTGATAGGGTAGAGTGGGCATTTTGGAACTTCTCCAAGTAGATTTTGGAGACTGTTTTGAGAGGACATTGTACACAAAGCACAGCCCAGCATAGAGAACCACTCTTGTTCTGGGGCGGAATTACCTTGGATTTCAATCTCTGTCTGGTTAAACTGATTTCAGTTAAGTTTGTTTAGTGCCTCTGTTTGGATAACAGCAGATGAATCCACTCCCCAGTGTTTTTTTTTGTCACATTTTCCCCTTATCATTTCCACTTCCATTCCAGTTCCATGAAATGCTTTCTCAATTTAACTAGAAAGCACATGCTTAACTCATTTGAAGTCAGACACAAGAAACGGTAAGTAGGTACGTACTTGTGTAACTGCATCCACAGAGTGCTAGGTGTTTGTCTTCCTACCTGCACACAGTTCTCCATGAACAGATAAGCAGTCACCATGCTGTGTTCCTTTCCCCACAGGCTGAAGGAATAGAGAAGTCATATTCACAGTCTGTCTTACTGGATCTGACCGAAAACCAAGCACAAATTATGCAGAAAACTTTGAATTTCTCATTTCCTCCAGACACGGTCAAAGGCAGTGAAAGAGTTCAGATCACAGCAATTGGTAAGAGTAGTGTGTGTCACCATGCTCTGGCTGATGTGCATGTGCTAATATATTTTCATCTATTTATAGATATATTGTCTTACTTAGTCCTTGTGGGAAGAGATTGTGGAAGGTTTTAGTTGGTGTCAACTGCTGTGACTTAGATCAGTGCTTTTTAACATGCAGCACACACGTGGAGGTCTTCCTTGACAAAGAACCCTGGTTTAGTATGTCTGGGGAGGGTCTGAACTTGCTACCTCTTCCCTCCTTTCTTCCTCCTCCCCTGTCACTTAAACTTCCTTCCTTTTTCTCAAGATGAAACACTGGGTTTTATGCATGCCAGACAAGTACTTTACTCCTGAACTATATAACTGGCTTTGTTTTATGAGATAAGGTCTTGGTATGCAGCCCAGGCTAGCCTTGACATCCAGAGCCATGCATCCCAGCTTCTTTGCTTGGATTCATGGGATGTTTCATCATGCCTGGCTTGACTCTCTGAATTTCTGAGGTGATGGCAGTGCTTCTGGGGTATAGATACACCAAGTAGCAAGGCTACAAGCACTATGGCTAGAGGGAGGAGTGTCTTTTACAGCAGAGCTCCTGGACTCTGTGACTCTTGACTACTGCTGAGGATCCTAATCTTACATAAAATGTTTTAAAACACAAATATCTGGGCTTTTCTCTAGACCTGCTAAATTAGAATTTCTTAGTCTATGGTCAGGACAAGTATAGTTTGAGAACTTCTCACCAGGGAGTCTGGTAAGCAAGACTTGAGAGCCCTTGCCTAGACCACTTTTCTGGGCAACCTTCACAGTAGGAACGTTACTTCTAGTTACCTTAATCTAAAATGCTTTTAAATTAAACATAGCTTTTCCAGTGTACCCGAGTCTCCTTCAGAATTAAATGTCAATTCCTGCCATTTTGATTTAAAGGAACACTTAGTTTATACCCTATCATTATTTAGGCAGAAGCATCCCGACTCATCACATAATCTATAAGTTAAGTTCTATGGCATTGTTCTTACTTTGGTTGTGTCTTCTCTGCCCCACTTGCTTCTATGATCGATACCTGTGCTGAGCTGAGACTACCTATGCCAGCAGGTCAGAGTGAGTGAGCATTCCCCACTGAACTGAATGTTTTGTGCTTTCAGGAGACATTCTTGGTCCTTCCATCAATGGCCTGGGCTCATTGATACGGATGCCTTATGGTTGTGGTGAACAGAACATGATAAATTTTGCTCCAAATATTTACATTTTGGATTATTTGACTAAACAGAAACAGCTGACAGATAATTTAAAAGAAAAAGCCCTTTCATTTTTGAGGCAAGGTAAGCATTAGATGTATACTTTTAGTTGTTAAAAAAGTTTGTGTTTTATGAGTCAGGGTCTCTGTGCGCCATGTTTCAGAACAGATGGGAGTTGTATCTGTATGTGGTTGGTGGCACTAGATGGTACTGATGTGCTGAAGGTCAGGCAGTGGGAGGTTCCTCTTGTCTTCCTGAAGCCAATTGTTCTTTAGCTGCTGCTAATTTCAAACTGTTTAGGAACCAACAAGGAATGAATGCTCATTTGTGGTCATTTATTCTCTGTTTTTTCTGGAGACAGAGTCTTAAGTAGCTCAGGTTAGTTTCAGGTTAGAACAGTGTGTACAGAGTAGGTGGTTGCACCTCTGAAAATGGAAGATGTGACTCAATGAGCTGTGATGACGGCACAGCTGTGGTTAACCTGGGTTGAGTGAGATCACACCAGTGTGAGCTATGTCAGTCCAGGTAGGACCGAGTGGGAACCAAGGGTCACACAAAGAAAAATTGAGGGGCATCAGAGTTTGGGATCTAGCTGAGTGAAACCTGAGTTCTCATGTGAGGTGGGGAGAGGTATGCTTTCCTTCTATTAGGAGCATATATGATGCTGACATTCTGGCTGGCTCTGCAACCCAGCAGCTGATAAAAGGAGGTTATTCGAAATCTAGCACTTGCTACTTTTCATATAGAGATGTTGATTTAAAAATGCTATTCTTTTAGTTGGGAGATGGTGGCATACGCCTTTAATCCCAGCACTCTGGAGGCAGAGGCAGGTGAATCTCTGTGAGTTCAAGGCCAGCCTGGTCTACAGAGCACATTCCAGGATAGGCTCCAAAGCTGCACGAAACCCTGTCTTGAAAACCAAACTAAACTAAAGAACCAAAAAATTATTCTTTTAATGTGTGTGTAGGGCATTTATATTTTAAATGTATATACACAGGAACTGTTATTTTTGAAAATTCTATTATGATTAGATTTAAGAAGGGGTATCAAGTGCTGTCTGTGTTAAACCATGGCATGTTGATTTTTACATCTTGGCTTAATGGTCATAGTAAGAAGATGAATAAAAGCTGTAGAGGAGTGTTAAAACTTAACTCTGTACTTTCTGAGAACAAGATTTCAGTTTGTACTGAGATTTATTAGTTTCTCTGGTTTCAACTAGATAGTACATACAGATTAGATTGGCATTTTATAATTTGATATGAATTCATTGTTATATTTTAATAAAGCAAAATAGCTCATAAAATGCCATATGATTCATGTTTATGTATTGTCTTGTGAACTGTAATTTTTGCTGATCAAATATTTTGAATGCTTAAACTTTTAATTTTTATTATATACATATGAGAGTTTTGTATGCATGCATGTCTGTGCACCACATATGTGCCTGGTGCTTGCAGAGGCCAGAAGATGTTAGATCCCGTGGGCCTGGGGTTACAGATGGTAGTAACATACCAAGTGGATAGGTTCCTCTGGAAGAGCCGCAAGTGCTCTTAACTGTGGGGCCATTGCTCCAGTAATGTAAATTCTATTTGAATGGGTTGAACCACTTAAAGAACTATTCATCCTTGGAGGTGACTTGGCTTGTCCTTGTGACACTTTGCTTAGGGTTCTGACAGCTCAAGCCCTAGTCCTTGCTCTTTTCCAAAGACAAACTGGCTGGGTTGTTATCAAACCAGCTTTCAAAGCCAGCTGGCGATAAAGCTCATGGTTTGTTTTTTGCCTAGCATGATCGGGGCCCTGGGTTTGATCCCCATCCTGGAAACAAGGTTCCAAGTAGCCCTCTGGGGCTCTCCTCTGATGCTTATTGGTTTCTAGAAGTGTGTATCAACCAGAGGGAGAAAAAACTTAGGTCTCCAAGTGCCAAGAAGTCCTCCACATGTTAACCTTTATTGGTGTCATGGGAGAAAGTGGTTAAGACACTAGCCATGGGCACTATCTTGGGTCTGTTTCCTCAGCCACTCAAGAGTTGCAGGTTCCTCCACCTGTAAGATGAAATAATAAAAGTACTTACATGGTATTGAGAGACCAGGAGTTAGAGACTCCCAGTTAAGCAGAAAGATAGGAGGAGGGGCCAAGGCTAGGTAATAAAGGTGCCAATTTTCAAGATGTTGGGCTTCTACCTCACCCTCCTGATTCAAGACAAAAGCCTAGCAGCTTGAAACAAAAGCCTTGGCTGCTGGCACATTCCTTTAATCCCACCACTCAGGAGGCAGAGGAAGGTAGATTTCTGTGAGTTCAAGGCCAGCCTGGTCTACAAAGCTAGTTCCAGGACAGGCTCCAAAGCTACAAAGAGAAACCCTGTCTAAAACAAAACAAAACAAAACAAAAAAAACCAAAAACCAAAACCCAAAAAACTAAGGGGTGGGGGCGTAGAAACAAAGCAAAACAAAACAAAAATTATGAAAGATTTTGTGGGCTTTTGTCTTCTACCAGCAGGGCCTGCTCAAGATGTGCCACACAACACCTCTGGGCCAATCAACCATCCTATCTGTCTGCAAACTGACCAACCCTAAGTGAGAAGCTTTGAACCCACAGTCCTGGGGAGAGACTGGAGTTTCCAGCTCCTCCACTGTAGAGGGTCTCTTTTTCTGTGTGCCTGCTGCATGTGTGTTTCCTCGCCCTAGTAAAATCCTTCTTTGACTTTTGATTCTATCTAAGGTGTTTGAGATTTCTCTCTTGCTGCTTCAGATTTTTCCTGCCTTTTAATTCTTTAGCTGGCAGAGAATAGGAACTCTATCAAGACCCCAGAGACACTATCATTTTGGGTGCTTGTTTCAGCGTTCTCCTAAGACTATATTACTCCATTTTATATTCTTCATTTAACACCATTTGAAACTATCCTAATCATTATCTGTATTAATATACAGATATAACCTTCAGTGGTATGTCTAATCCTTTCCTCACTGTATCACCACGTGGGCACCTCAGTGAGACCTGAGTGGGTGGATGAATGATCACTGTCAACTTCTTGGACTTTTAAATTCATCCTTCTAGTCTGGAGGTCAGGGTTAGGAGTGTTCTGAAGTACTTCCATAGTGCAGTGATTACCTGTAAACACTCATCATTCTACCTAGCCTTGGCATGTTCTTACCAGGCAGAAGTGGGACCTGTGTTTCTGGCTTGCCCCGCAGATCACA